GGCACCTTCTGGACCACGAGCAGTGAGTGGTTTCAGGTGCTAAGTCCAGGTTGATGGAAAAGATAAAACACTCATTTAACAGTTCGGTGCACACCGAACTCCAAGCAGCACACATGGTAAGCATGGCTCCCGTCAACTTGTGTGCTGGTTCTGGGAAAAGCCTGCGAAGACAGACTTGGCTTTTCCCTTTAACTTGCTGATGTCAAGGACATGTATTTACCACTGTGATGGGTCAGAAGTCTTACACATTTTACCCACTCAACTTTGCCACAGTGAAGAGGACAAACTGGGCAAAGAGGTGGACTGAGACGCTGAGGATGCCTTGCAGGAAGGAGGGTGACATCAGCAGGTACCAGCTACTGTTTCCATCCTCCCTGTCCTGGACCTTCCCGTATACAAGGTATCACGCTCTGCTTTGTCAGGAGCAATGAACTGTAGGCATTTTAATCTGAAGGACTTTGTTGGTTTTGTTCCCTCTGCTTGGGATGCCCTTGTATGCTGCAGAGCACTTTCGAGGCCCAGGTCAAAGGCCAGCTCTCCTGTGAACCCTTGCTCCTTTAATACTTTGTTTCAGCAGCTATTTTAAATACTAGCATTTCTTACCTTGGGTCCATGGGTCACTGTGATAGGCTTTGGGGGCATCTATCAATGCTTCTGGGGTGACCTGAGAGATCTGTGTGTCTGTGCATTACTCTCGAGGGGAGGGTCAGAGCTTCTACCAGATTCTCTGAGGCCCCGCGACCCAGCAAGCAACTAAGAACCACTAATTTCTTATCTGTCCCCCTTATGAGTTCCTGAGGGCAAGGGTCACATCTTTCCCATCTCAGACTCTCCAGCACTGGTCCACCATAGACACTTAACTGTTGGCAGCAGGCTGTTAGTGACCCAGAGAGGCAACATTTTTACAGGCTAAGTAGAGAGAACAGGATGGTTTAATCTGTGGAGTTTGTTCTTGATTACAGTGTTCAACATGCAAAATTACCTCTTGGTACGAGATGGATCTCTGCCACTTCCCTGGGACGGTTAATCCAGACAGAATCATTCCTGGGCAACCCTTAAGTAAGTGTCTGCCAGCAATCACCCTCTCCCTTCTTAGGGTATGTAAGCTCTCTCTTATCCAGAATAACTGGGACTTGGGTCTTTCATTCAATGGTGTAGCCATACGCAGTACAGCACCACTGGTTGGTCAGTGGATTTGATATATTCTGAACTCCAGTTCAAGACCTCCCATTACTTAACCTTTGAAGTCTCTGAGGATCCCAAAGGCACTTGAGAATCTGGCAGTGTCACCTGGCAGTGTCTCAGGGTTACTGATTTCACTGGACAGTGTTCAGAAAGGTTTGCTAAGTCTGTCCTGGCCTTGAGTATTCACTCTGAAAAGAGTCTGTCTGATAAGGTTTTGACACATTTGCTCTTCCTGTCGTTCTGCAGGCGCAAAATGAACAACTAAGGGAGCTCCATTTTGCTCAGCCACCATTCCTAAAGTTTTGGTAATGAAAATGTGGTATTTGTGTGAGGAAAGTTACAGAAATACTAACAAAAAATCAAAAGTAAAATGAGGGGTGTTTGGATCCCAAGGAAACAGGAGTTTACTGTGGTTAGAAGGCAGAATGACTAGGTAATAATTAGGTTTACTTGACAATGTTTTCTTCCAAAGACTGAATTCTTGCTAAGTTTTACACATTATCACTAGCTTAAGTTTGCCCCCCTCTCTGACTTTTATTACTAGAGTCACCAGAAGGAAAATTTAAAACATTTTGAAAACAGCTGTTTCTGGGCAAGTCACCCAGCACGTACTCTTTATATTTCCTCTAGTTTCACACATAAAGGGGAACCCGGCTCAGATAAGAACAATCCTTGCTGCACGCCCGCCAGCTCGTGCACCCGCCTTTTTATTCCCAGCAGCTCCAGCTCAAACCAAAGTCACAAGGTTAAGCACTTCTTGGAGTTCCCGACACAGGTGATCCCTGCTTGGTCTTCAAAAAATAGAGGTCTGTAATTCCTTTTTGAACATGCCTTCGAAGTGGAGGTCTTTGGCCATGAGCTCCTCTTCGACATCATCCAGTGCCCACTGGTGATCCGTCAGCTCCAGAGCTTCCCACTCTGTCTGCGAGGGAAGAGAACACGGGGCAGGGAGGGAATGGCTGTTACAAGAGTGGAACTGACCAGCTGGGCCAGGAGCTGGGGTAGGCTGTTTACATATGTAGGTTACCTCCATCCTCATCTGCCCCTGCCCCCAATTTAGAGACCAGGAGACTAAGGCTAAGAAAGAAAAAATTTGTTCAAGGTCACTGGAGCTAGTAACTAATTATATTTCTCTAATATTCTATTAATGCTGACTACTTTGTTATTTATTTATTGACATATAGTTGATTTACAATATTGTGTTAGTTTCATGTGTACAAAGTGATTCAGTTACATATATGTATATTTCCAGATTATTTTCCATTATAGGTTATTACAAGATACTGAATATTGTTCCTTGTGTCATGAAGTAAACCCTTGTTGCTTATCTATTTTATATACATAGTATCTATTATATATATATAATATACATATATCATATATATATATAATAACCAAACTCCTAATTTATCCTCCCTTTCCCCCTTGGTAACCATGTTTGTTTTCTATGTCTGTGAGTCTGTTTTGTAAATAGATTCATTTATATTGTTTATTAGATTCCATATGTAAGTGGTATCACATACTACTTGTCTTTCTGTCTGACTAACTTCACTTAGTATGACAATCTCGAGGTTCGTCCATGTTGCTGCAAATGTTAATAGTTCATTATTTTTTATGGCTGAGTAGAATTCCATTCTGTGTATACATGACATCTTTATGCAGGTATCTGTTAACCTCTGAAGACTTGGGCTGTTTCCACGTCTTGGCTGTTGTAAACAGTGCTGCTGTGAACACTGGGGTGCATGTTATCTTTTCAAACCGGTTTTTGTCTTTTTTGGGTATGTGCCCAGGAGTGGGATTGTTGAATCATATGGTAGCGCTATTTCTACTTTTCTAAGGAGCCTCCATACTGTTTTTTATAGTGGTTGTACCAATTTATATTCCCATTAACAGTGTAGGAGGG